TCCTCAGAAGGAAGGTTGGGCAATCCTACTTCCATAGTGATACTGCCTCAGAAACCCAAGGAGGGGTCGCTATGAGTCAGGGCCGACTCGACGGCACATAACAACAATATATATATATATGTATACACACACACACACACACATATTGCATTTTATTGAAATATAATTTATGTACAGTGAAATATACAACACTAAAGTGACATGGGTTAATTTTTTTTTCAGTGTTCCCTGCCCTCCCCTCTGCCCCCGGCAACCAACAAAGAAAGTTGCCCTCCATATATAAACCTTTCCTTGACCCTGCACAACAACAAACTAATACTATGTTAGTCCTTCTGTAATTGACTTATTTCACTTAGCATAATGTCCTTCAAGTTCAAACATATTATGTGTTGTTTTGTAGACTGTACATTATTCTTTAGTGCTGCATAGCATTCCATTGTGTGTATGTACCATAGTTTGGTCATCCACTCTTATGTTGATGGGCACATAGGTTATTTCCATATTTTTACTATTGTAAATAGTGCTGCAATGAACATGGGTGTGCATTTATCTGTTCCCGTCCTGGATCTTAACTCTCTAGGATATATACCTAGTAATGGGATTGCTGGGTCAAATGGTATCTCCAATTCCAGCTTTTTAAAGAATTGCAATATTGCTTTCCACAGTGGTTGTATTGCTTCACAGTCCTCCCAGCAGTGTATGAGAGTCCCAATATCTCCACATCCCCACCAGCATTTGTTATTTTCTGTCTTGTTGAACCTTGCCATCAGCGCTGGGGTGAGTTGGTATCTCATTGTTGTTTTGATTTACATCTCTCTGATGGCCAATGATTGAGAGCATCTCTTCATGTATTAGCTAGCCACCTGAATATCCTCCTTGGTGAAGTGTCTATTCATGTCTTCTATTTTTCAATTGAATTGTTAATTCCTTGAGTGTTGAGGCATTGGTGTTTTCTATAAATATTAGAGATAAGTCCCTTGCCAGATATGTAATTATTGGCAATTATGAATTTGTTACTGTCATTTTTGTTATGTGCTTTTTCGTGGTGTCGATTTCTTTGTTCCGCATAATTTTCTATGCTGAGCTCATTTTGTTTATGAATTATGTTATCACTTCCTTCATTCCTATTGTTTTAGTATTTGCTGAATATTTATGCTGGTCCTCTTTCTTCTTTTGATGTGAAGGTTTATAATTTTCTTTGAGGTTGCCCTGTGATTTACAGTTTTCTTCCCAGGTTCAGAACAGTCTGTTCTATCTTGTAGTTGTCTTCACTTCCCTACCATCTAGGTGTTCTGTAACAACACAGTTTTTTCCCTCTTTTTGCTTTGTAGTTGTCCTCATTTGTCAATTGATGTCTCTGGCTCCCTGTTTACAATCTTGTAGGCTTATTTAC